TGTTTCTCTGCGCGTGTGCTGAATCTGTGCTGAATCTGTGTCTCTCTGCGCGTGTGCTGAATCTGTGTGTGCTTGTTTCTGCGCGTGTGCTGAATCTGTGTTTGTCTCGTTTGTCTCTTGCTGAATCTGTGTGTTTGTCTCTGCGCGTGTGCTGAATCTGTGTGTTTGTCTCTACGCGCTCTACGCGTGTGTTTCTCTGCGCGTGTGCTGAATCTGTGTTTTTCTCTGCGCGTGTGCTGAATCTGTGTTTTTCTCTGCGCGTGTTTGTCTCTCTGCACTTGTGTTTATTCTGTGTTTGTGTCTCAGGCTCACTGGTGGGCGGTTCTGCTTATGGGAATTGCTCTCATCATGCTCATGGCCGGATTCATTAAGATCTGCAGCGTTCACACGCCCAGCAGCAACCCCAAACTGCCTCCTCCTAAACCACTGCCAGGTAACGCACCTCCTCACTGACATTGTCAGAAAGACCCGTTTCCATGCATGTCAGTATTGAGACGTTTGAAATTGTGTCAGTAGTGGTTTTATGTAGTATAGATACACTGATACCAGCTGTTCTTTCTCACTCTCTCCTCTCAACACGCCGCAGTGTGTGTTTTAATTAAATAAAAATATGCTGTGTGTTTCAGAGTGAAGTGCAGTATTCAAGTGTTTATATCCAGTTTTCAGCATCTCACTTCACAGTAAATGCAGCAAACTCAATCCCTGCATGTGCTGCAAGGTTAACATACATTTTTGCAATGCAACTTTACACTTTTACAATTTCCAACATTTTTGTGGACAAATGATTACAGCAGTTCACACTTTCAAGCATGTAGATTTGTAATGAGATGCGTTTGGTCTCCCTGCAGTTTTCTGCCAAAATAAAATCTTTAACGCTTACAATTGAAGAAATTAACTGTAAGTATTAATTATGTAAGTGTAAAATAAAATATGCAAATTATAAAATGTTTTTTTTTTATTTTACAGAGTAGTGTTATTATAATACTAATCTTAGAAATAATAATAATACGAACTGTATTTAGTAGTATATAATGTTTATTATTGGGATATTATAATAATATTTATTATTATTATTATTATCCCAATCAGAGCTTCAGTTTCAGTTGATAACAAAATAGTTTGACTATAGTCAAAAGTAAATAAACTCAAATTTTATGCCTCTGATTTTTTTGCTTTGCAACAAAAAAACTATATTTTTTCAATGTTTATTTTTTTATTTAACACTTTAGTTGTATTATAATAGAAGTATATTTCTGTGATACATAAAATTATTTATATCCCAAGAATAAACATTGTATCCCTGTGAATATTATTATTATTATAATCCCAATCAGAGTTTCAGCTGACAAAATACTTTGACTATGGTCAAAATTTAACGAACATTTTCAAATGTTATGCCCCTGATTTTGTTGGACTGCCGCTAATTCAAAAGTGAAAGTAAAATGCGCACGGCGAGCAAGCTATTTAAAAGCGACGGAAAGCGAGGAAAAGAGGGGAAATTCAAACGAACTAAAAACGAACAATTGCTTTACGCCGAATTGCCGCTATTTCAAAGTGAAAGTAAAATGCGCACGCCGCTTTTACAAGCTATTTAAAAGCGAGGAAAAGAGGGAACGCCCCCGCCCCAACGTTGATGCCGGTGTTGTCACACGTCGGTTAACCGGTGGGAATATTTCCTCACCATCACAACCCTACTGCGCGTGTGCTGAATCTGTGTGTGTTTGTTTCTCTGCGCGTGTGCTGAATCTTTGTGTTTGTCTCTGCGTGTTTGGTGAATCTGTGTTTGTCTCTGCGCATGTGCTGAATCTGTGTTTGCCTCTGTACGTGTGCTGAATCTGTTTGTCTCTGTGCGTATGCTGAATCTGTGTGTTTGTCTCTCTGCACGTGTGCTGAATCTGTGTGTTTGTCTCTACGCGTGTACTGAATCTGTCTGTTTGTCTCTCTGCGCGTGTGCTGAATCTGTGTGTTTGTCTCTCTGCGCGTGTGCTGAGTGTTTCTCTGCGCGTGTGCTGAATCTGTGTTTTTCTCTGCGCGTGTGCTGAATCTGTGTTTTTCTCTGCGCGTGTTTGTCTCTCTGCACTTGTGTTTATTCTGTGTTTGTGTCTCAGGCTCACTGGTGGGCGGTTCTGCTTATGGGAATTGCTCTCATCATGCTCATGGCCGGATTCATTAAGATCTGCAGCGTTCACACGCCCAGCAGCAACCCCAAACTGCCTCCTCCTAAACCACTGCCAGGTAACGCACCTCCTCACTGACATTGTCAGAAAGACCCGTTTCCATGCATGTCAGTATTGAGACGTTTGAAATTGTGTCAGTAGTGGTTTTATGTAGTATAGATACACTGATACCAGCTGTTCTTTCTCACTCTCTCCTCTCAACACGCCGCAGTGTGTGTTTTAATTAAATAAAAATATGCTGTGTGTTTCAGAGTGAAGTGCAGTATTCAAGTGTTTATATCCAGTTTTCAGCATCTCACTTCACAGTAAATGCAGCAAACTCAATCCCTGCATGTGCTGCAAGGTTAACATACATTTTTGCAATGCAACTTTACACTTTTACAATTTCCAACATTTTTGTGGACAAATGATTACAGCAGTTCACACTTTCAAGCATGTAGATTTGTAATGAGATGCGTTTGGTCTCCCTGCAGTTTTCTGCCAAAATAAAATCTTTAACGCTTACAATTGAAGAAATTAACTGTAAGTATTAATTATGTAAGTGTAAAATAAAATATGCAAATTATAAAATGTTTTTTTTTTATTTTACAGAGTAGTGTTATTATAATACTAATCTTAGAAATAATAATAATACGAACTGTATTTGTGTGTTTGTTTCTCTGCGCGTGTGCTGAATCTGTGTTTGTCTCTGCGTGTGTGCTGAATCTGTGTGTTTGTCTCTGCACGTGTGCTGAATCTGTGTGTTTGTTTCTCTGCGCGTGTGCTGAATCTGTGTGTTTGTTTCTCTGCGCGGGTGCTGAATCTGTGTGTTTGTCTCTCTGCACGTGTGCTGAATCTGTGTGTTTGTCTCTACGCGTGTACTGAATCTGTCTGTTTGTCTCTCTGCGCGTGTGCTGAATCTGTGCTGAATCTGTGTCTCTCTGCGCGTGTGCTGAATCTGTGTGTTTGTTTCTCTGCGCGTGTGCTGAATCTGTGCTTTTTCTGTGTTGCTGCGGTGCTGAATCTGTGTGTTTGTCTCTCTGCGCGTGTGCTGAATCTGTGTGTCTCTCTGCACGTGTGCTGAATCTGTGTGTCGCTCTGCACGTGTGCTGAATCTGTGTGTGTTTGTTTCTCTGCGCGTGTGCTGAATCTGTGTGTCTCTCTGCACGTGTGCTGAATCTGTGTGTCGCTCTGCACGTGTGCTGAATCTGTGTGTGTTTGTTTCTCTGCGCGTGTGCTGAATCTGTGCTGAATCTGTGTCTCTCTGCGCGTGTGCTGAATCTGTGTGTGCTTGTTTCTGCGCGTGTGCTGAATCTGTGTTTTTCTCTGCGCGTGTGCTGAATCTGTGTTTTTCTCTGCGCGTGTTTGTCTCTCTGCACTTGTGTTTATTCTGTGTTTGTGTCTCAGGCTCACTGGTGGGCGGTTCTGCTTATGGGAATTGCTCTCATCATGCTCATGGCCGGATTCATTAAGATCTGCAGCGTTCACACGCCCAGGGATCTGTGTGTGTGTGTTTCTCTGTGCGTGTGCTGAATCTGTGTGTTTGTCTCTCTGCGCGTGTGGTGAATCTGTGTTTGTCTCTGCGCATGTGCTGAATCTGTATTTGCCTCTGCGCGTGTGCTTAATCTGTGTTTGTCTCTGCGTGTGTGCTGAATCTGTGTGTTTGTCTCTGCGCGTGTGGTTAATCTGTGTTTGTCTCTGCGCGTGTGCTGAATCTGTTTGTCTCTGTGCGTGTGCTGAATCTGTGTGTGTTTGTTTCTCTGCGCGTGTGCTGAATCTGTGTGTTTGTCTCTCTGCGCGTGTGGTGAATCTGTGTTTGCCTCTGCGCGTGTGCTGAATCTGTTTTTCTCTCTGCGCGTGTGCTGAATCTGTTTGTCTCTCTGCGCGTGTGCTGAATCTGTGTGTTTGTCTCTCTGCGGTATTATCACTTCAGATGTGCAGGAGATGTTAAAAAAGTACAGACACATAAATCACTTCAAGTTTTATATTTTATATTTAACAAACAACAAATAAAATGACTTTTTGTTTGCATAATCACTAAAACAATAACATTACCAATGATGTTCGGATTTTAAATGACAACTTGACTGACAACAGTTTAATAGCATGTTGAAATATCTAATGTAAATGTTCAAATAAAGCTTTGAAAAAGTTTCATAAAAAGGTAAAAAGGTAAATCAGCCTTTAAATAAAGAAAAGATATGTCAAAATCATAATTGATTATTAAATGATTATATTGATTATATGTGCTCCATAAATAATTCTAGATAACTTATCTGAATTATTTAAATGTGTAGAATCCACATAAGCTTGTTTTTCATCTACCGGTCAAAATTTACAGCAGGGCAGAACCTGCACACAGGCTGAATGTAAATATAAGTCTCTGTAAATCCACTTGCTGACAGCAGGTGGCGCTGATGGAAAAGCTGAATTAGAGCAGTTTCCTGTAAACTCCGTGGACAAAGCAGTATTGCGATTAAGAACACTTCCTTTAGGTATTACATGGAGCGAAGATGAAAACAAAATGCTATAGAATCGTTTCTGAAAACTTTCAGAGGTACATTCATATAATTAATTCATTCATATTTTCATTTGTACAATTCCCTTAGCACTCTTTTAAAACCTCCCAGCTTTTCCACCCTGTTTTCACTCAAAACGAAACTACTCTGCTGCTGTGCGCACGTGAGACTGTTTCTTAAAACTGTGCTTTATGCTGGACAGTATTTATTTATCGCGAGTTGTTCAAAGCACGGTAATCTAATACGGTTTTAATGATAATTAAAAGATGAAAAGGTAATACTAACCGTGGGGAATTTTTATCATGATTTATCATAAAACCGGTAATCGTTACATCCCTAGTGTGGATAAATGCCTCCTATGCAGAAAAAGACCAATGCCTCGACATCACTGCCTGTTTAACCCCGCCCATCGATTCTACGTCACTTCCTGTTTAGCCCTGCCCACTGATTCTACACCGCTGCCTATTTTGCCCCGCCCATT